CGAAATTTGTTTTAAATGAAGCCACATCATTCATGACTTTGGAATATGAAGATCCAACATTATTTCACGAGGAGAATAGTGTTGGAAAGCCCATGATTCAAATTCTAGATATCAGTGGTTTCAGTACACAACCCACACGGTGTATAGAATCTCAGGACCTAGGTGAGTCTGTGTAATTGCAATTGCCAATTCTAATACTAATGAGTTTATTCCAGATCACACATAGTTCGCATCCAATTCACAGTCAGACAGACACACAGCGAACCTAAGAAGTAGACGTTCAATTCATTATAGAATCCTAGATACCAACTTAAGCTGTGGCGGTTGTGATGTTTGTATGAACTAATGATCCCCTAGTATTTGATATTCACCTGATATCGAAATGCAAATACTATACGCTCGTTCCTGCTCCCATAGATCTGCTTGATTTTAATTGCGCTGTCATAGGGATCCCTGGGTAATACAATAATCCAAATGCTCCTGAATATCACAGAACCTCTTACAACCGTTGAGAAGCTTAAATAATTGGAGTTTTCCGAAAATATCATTGTTCATAGTTTGTTATCTAGTGGCTACCGCACACATCTCAGTATTTATACTGCTGAGCTGTTTCGTTGTTTGACGTTGTTTAAGGATTGGTTCGACCTTCGTCGATCGATTAGGTCTCCACTTTTAAGAAAAGCCTTTTTCTAAATTGTCATAAGGTTCAGAAACATTACTGAATAATACACTGAGTATGACAAGCCACTTAAAATCTCGCTCCAATGCCTTCAATACGTGATAGTATTAAACACGTGGGTCTATCACACCACGCTTGTTGAAGTCTGGTTCTGGTGTACAAGCTAGAATGATGTGGATTTCAAAGTCATGGGAGTGAGTGTCTTAGTCTTCAAGAGTTAGAATGCGAGTTCTGACATTATGAAATTTAAATATACAAAGAAGCGGAAAATCTCCGATAACAGAAATGTGGTTTCACAATGTGTGAAAGGATATTACGTATAGTATTACGACAAGAAATATACTCACATTTCATCGCTTGATGCACCATATCGTCCTGGCATCACCATTAAGGGTCACACACATGTTCAGATTTTGACGAGGCTTTTATTTGTAATACCTTTGTATTTTAAATGTTCAAAACTCAATGAAATCAGAAGTTTGGCATGAATTGTGTCAAAGATATATTGAGAAGGTGGTCGATATGTTCAGATGCGTTTGATTCGACCTGGCTAGTTGTTGCCAGGGATGCACAACATGTATACACACTCATGCCCCGATGCAAATGCGTGATCAAGTGCCTTCAGCCAGGTTGTGTCCAGTAAAACCACTGAGGTCAGCACCAATGTCGAAGACAGGATTTATTTACGGTTACATCTCAATCCACCCCCTATGGAGTAGTAATGACCCTGTTACGCAACTATCAAGAAGTTTAAACCCAATGGGCCTGACGCTAATAAATAGCTGCAACCCTGACAACAATCTAGAGCTATTTGTAAAATAAGACCTGAATGCCACATATCTCTGCCTTTTGAATGCAGCCATAGGTTTAGAAAATGAATAGTGGTTACGAAGACGTTCAATCCTGTTATATATATAGGCACGTTAACTATGGTGTATCTGACCGAATGGGGTTGGAACCCGAGAACTAAGTTTCAAGTTTTCAGCTTACCTCGAAAAAGGGACTTAGGTATCTTTAAAATTTTTACAGAGGTAAGATACCGACGGATCCCCAGATTTCTGAGGTATTCCATATGCTTGGCAGTTTGAGAAGTCAGAACTGTTCGTTCTGCCTCAAAGCAGTGTAGGTAATGTGATTTCGATATATGGAAAAATAACGAAATGATTTCCGACCAGCTGAATGTATTCTTTTTGTTCCTACTAAAAGAAAATTTGACAATTCATAGTTTCCTCATCGAGTAACCAATTTTCGAAACCTACTATCTGAAGATATGGTGTCCATGTCTCAAATTTGAACACCAATGAAGAGAAAAAATAATCACAGAAGTTAAAGAAGAAAGATTCTAACACAGGTTTCCGTCTTGTTTTCTACAATACATGTGCCTCTCTCGGAGCACAGATTTGTGAGGAAAATCTCCGGCTAGTGAGTTTTCGGATAGTCAGATCTTGGAAGCGAATGCTGCCAAGGCTTGTATGGATAGGCTATTCTACTTGGGAGTTTTATATGCCAAGAAATAAGTTCTGTGAACCAGAAGCATTAGTGGTCAGAGTAAAGCCATTCATCGTAGCAGTAACAGAAACTTGGTTAGTCCATGACTTAGACATTACTCCAGAATTTTCCGAATACCAGTACCTAAGGAATAATAGACATAGATGTAGAAAAGGAGGTAGCATCCTGTTATATATGGCTAATAATATAAATTTCCGCTCCCCTGCTAGCGAATCCCATAATAGCGGTACTTGTGAAATCATTAGCTGTGAATTGGCTATCGGATGTGGTACATTTATGCTCGGTGTCATATATCGCAGCCTAATCTGTTTATCTGATGACTTTATTACAGATCACATACAGCTTGGGAGTGCAAATAACAGATGCTTGATAATAGGAGACCTTAATGTACCTGATATTAGTTGGACTGAGATGACCACGGAGGGATCTATAAACTCCTTTGATAGTAGGTTCCTGGTAACAATAATGGAGCATGCACTAGTGCAGCATGTATCCGAACCCACACGCTTTGGTGCTAACCAAGGTTCTTCTATGTTGGACTTGGTAATCACTCATGGTACTGAGGATATGGTCGATCTAAATATTCTTCCGCCGTTAGTGAACAGCCATCACACTGTTTTGTTATTTGCGTTTGGAACTAGGGACATGTTATACGATCAGGTTACACTCCGCCCAAATGTATGGAAAGCTAACCTATCAGCCATTCAGGAATGCGCTGCTAAGACAGATTGGTTATGTAGATACTAGCTTATCAGTTGAAGAAGCATGGTCTGTATTTAAAGGTAAATTTAGTTTAGATACGTCTCCGTTCATACCATACTTGGTACTGCGAAGACCGAATAATAGTCCACCATGGATAACTAAAACAGTCAGGAAACTCCTTTGAAAAAGGAAGAAGCACTGGAATATGTTCATCTCTACTGGCTTAGAACAATACAGATCCAGTTACTGTAAGATTAGGAATGCCTGTAAAGCGTTAATAAGTAAGACTAGACGATCATATGAAAAACAATTGGTTAGGGATTCTAGATATAGTCCGAAACGGTTATTCTCGTATTTAAAAAGGCGAACTCAGAGAAGCGATGGAATTCCATCACTTTCGATGCAAGAAAATCCGTTAATCTTGGCCGAAAATGATTCCGAAAAAGCTGAAGCTTTATCAGAATATTTCAGTAAAGTGTTTTCTATCGGTAATGAGGAACGACCAACGATTCATTTTGATCGTGGCGGACCCTGTAGTCATAGAGAAAGGCTAAGGCTACTTCAGCATCTAAAACCTGATAAGTCCAGTGGTCCTGATGATATTCATCCTAGGATTATGAAAGCCCTACCAGATGTAATTGCTGAACCATTAGCGATACTGTTTGACATGTCTCTAAGGCAGTCCAGCCTGCCCAGGGACTGGGAAGACGCTATAATAAGTCCGGTGTATAAGGCTGGGAGTAGTGATTTAGTTAGTAACTATAGGCCCGTTAGCTTAACTAGTGCAGTTGTAAAATTGATGGAAAAAATCATTCAGATATATGTTATAAACTATGTTGAAGGGCATAATCTTTTCTACAGGAACAACATGGTTTTCGGATAGGCCTATTATGCTTGACAAATTTCATTGCAAGAGAAGATTGGGCTGCTGCAAAAGATCAGAATATTCCTGTGGATGTGATCTTCATAGATCTAAGTAAGGTTTTCCATAAAGTCCCCCACTCTGGTCTTGAATTCAAACTGAAATGTTTTGGGATCCATTACTCAGTCGTATATTGGATAAGTAACTTTCTCCATGACAGGAGACAAAGGGTAAGGATTAATGGGGCTGTCTCCTTATGGGTATCTGTAAAAAATGGAGTTCTTCAAGGTAAAATCCTCGGCCCTCTTCTCTTTTTACTTTATGTAAATGAATTACCAACTATAGTGAAAACATCCGTTCTACTCTTCGCTGATGATATAAAGATTTGCAGACCCATACACAGTATGTCAGATAGGATAGTATTACAGAATGATCTTACCTCATCGGTGGCATGATTGGACAGGCGGTCACTAGAAGTAAGTCCTAATAGGGGTTTAGTGATGCAAATAAATAACTATGATGAATCTTATCACTACACCATATGTGAATTCGTGCTACCCAAAGTAAGAAACTATAAAGACTTAGGAGTCGTATTAAGCAGTGATCTCAAAACCACTAGTCACTGTAAAGCCGCGAAGGACTATAGGGTATTATGGTCTATTCGTAGGTCTTTCCAGTATTTAGATGATGAAATTTTTAGATTATTATACCCGACTTACGTGCCACCACATTTAGAATACGGGATTCAAGCAGCGAGTCCTTGTTTCAAGTATGAAGCAGAGATGCTGGAAAGAGTCAAACGACGAGGTACTAATATGGTACAAGGTTTATTTGACCTACCTTATGAAGACAGACTGAGACACATTAACTTATTTCCGTTATCTTACCGTAGAATACGGGTGATCTAATATTGGCCTATCGTATACTGAACGATGACCTTGGTATTAACATGCCTTATCTTTTACTTACATCTGAAACTGATTATTTGAGAGGACATTCGAAGCAAGTTCAAAAACCGAAATCAAATCGTTTACATCTGGAGTTTCGTTTCTCGCATCGAGTAGTGAATTACTGGAATTCTCTACTGAAAGACGCACATTCTGTTGATATATTCAAAAGGAAATTGGACCTCCACAGTATTACAAACTGCAAGGATTAATATGGGTCGATAGACCTCCTATCATTATTACTAATGACTCAAGACTGAGGACTGAAATCGGAAACCTATTGGAATTTCTGAAGGTCGCCCTTCAAATGTGTGGTTATTTTAAATAATGGACGAGAATTGTGGACGGTTAAAGTATATTGAGCTAGAAAACTACAAGTCCTATAAAGGAAAGCAGGTAATTGGTCCTTTCAGTGTATTCACTGCTATTATTGGGCCAAATGGGTCGGGTAAGTGCTCTGAATTTTATGTTTCAAACCGAATCTTTGCTGTTTATATATATATATATATATCACTACGATATTTTTATTAGTGTTGAATGATATATGTGGTCGACTGACATGTATCTGAACTGTACATTACTCAAATATTTGGTAATAGGTTTTCTAATTTTGTGGAAAAATCAGTTGGGCATACCTTAATAGGGGTTTTGACCATTTTGCTTTTTCGTGAAAATCAATCTGTAGACAACCTGTAGGTGTATATAGCAGGCGTGGTTTTGTAGCTGAACCGTTTTCTTGAAGTTTATGATTTGGTTATCACAACCTCCCTGTACCCATCCCATATGATGAGTCATCAGGTATAGTCGGGTTCGTCTATCTAGAAGGCAGTCACGCCATTTGCAATGTGGTAGAAAAATGTTGAGTGCAATCGAAGTCAAGACTTTTTTCTTTAATTTCGTTAATTTTGAACTGTGTTTATCTATTATAAGGTCGAGTGTGATGCTCATCGGTCCTAGTGCTCATGTACAGATGTGATAGCTTATCCAGCTTCAAAATGCTCGAAGTTTTCAATATTCTTTTATCTTTGCGCTCAAGAAAGTGGCCGTACTAGGTGGAAGTACAAAGTAATTCTGGGTTTCAGTAGTGTTTGGGTGTAGTAGTGTTCAACACTTTAAGTTTTATACTTTCAGAAAACACCATTGTACATGAGTCGTTATGACTGGTGATCTAACGCATAGTACTACTGTAATACTCCATCAAGAACACTGATGTTCGTTTCATATCGAAAACGGTATCAGGTTACTCGTGAATTTCTGTCTTTAAATTTGAAACAATCTCACCATGTGGAGCGTTTTAGGTTTCTTTTGTAATATTTTCTTTATGTACAATATGCGAATGGGGAGTTTTTACTTTCGATATTTAATTTTCTCAGGCAAGTCAAATTTAATGGATGCTATTAGCTTTGTTCTTGGAGAAAATACACGACATTTACGTGTTCGTAGGCTTAATGTAGGTGTTTTACTGGTTACTCAAATTTATTAAAGGATTTAATCCACGGTTCGGTGGTTGGGAAACCCGTTGCAAAGTCAGCATCAGTTACTGCAGTTTATGAAATGCCTGATGGGGAAGAAAAGCGCTTTAGTCGTGTTATTCACGGTAATACATCCGAGTACCGAATAAATGGGGTCGTATGTTCCTGAATTTTTACGCAGCCTCCATTTTAGTCTGTTCGTGTTGATGAATATGCTGCTGCTCTGGAACAAATACATATATTTATGAAGGTGAAGAACTTTCTCGTTTTCCAAGGTGCTGTGGAAAGTATAGCTATGAAAAATGCACGTGAACGTTGTCAGATGTTTGAGGAAATTAGCAAGTAAATCAACAAATATTTAAAGTGATTTTCTTAGGTCTGCTGAATTAAAAGAAGAGTACGATTTGTCGAAAATGGAAATGCAAAAGCTGGAGGAGAACGCAACTTTCAACTTGAACAAGAAAAAAGGCATTGTTGCTGAACGAAAAGAAGCAAAGATCGAAATAGATGAAGCTGAGAGGTACAAGAAACTGCAAAATGAATTGGTTAGTATTAGGGTTTTACTGATAGGATTAAGTTTGCTCGAAATTTCTTTCCTAGTTGTATGATTCAGATGGTTTAATCGGTTATGGACGGAATAGAAGAAGCTTTCGCTTAACCGACTTCCATATCTAGTAGTAGAGGATCACTGATACCTCCGGTTAATGGCCTAGGTATATTTAGCTAAGAAAGTTGCTGTAATACATGAAACACAAGTTACTTAAGTTTGGTGTTCGGAATTTGTGACCCTCCATTAGGTTTCTATGCTCATAACCAGTTTCTAGTAACACTGAGGAATTTTTTGGTAACATCAGGGGATTCGGTAAGAAACATTCCTAGTCAATTAGTTTCACCCTTGTTATTGTGAGAATTGAAGAGCTCACTACGGTTCACGTCACTTTTCCTTCACTACTTATCTATGAGTTTTGGGATAGTTAGTAGTTGCTTTAAAATACCAGGTTGTACAGAATCAGATATAAGTTGCTTCAGTTGTTTTGATTGTTTTCTAAATATGCTTTTACTGGTTACAATTCGTTTCCATCCTGTATGTTTATTTTAATAATTGATTTTCTATCAAGATCCCTGTTCTAGTCATTTTCTCTAGTTTTTTGCATCATGTTTCTATACTGCAGATGCTTCGCCATTCACTAAGCACTTAAACCCAACCACATCTTGAGGGCCGTGGATTAGTTCTGTCCTTAGTAACTTGGGAGCGTGACCGCGAAGTCCAGAGAACAACTGTTTAAGACCGGTCTCGCACAGCCTTTTTATGGGAAGTCTATGGTGTGTTAGCTCCGCACTTCAAAAGACCTTACCGTCAGAGACGGAAATCCATGAGGTGAAGTTGTATCGCATTTGAAGGTTGGCCTTTTCTGACCGCAGCATCGTTTCAGATCCTGGTTGTCCGAGGGAAACACCTTGCCACTGTCATTTGTTTCTGCAGTCAGCAGTACGGCTTCGCGCTCCGACCTCAATTTGCTGCTCATAGTCTTAAAGCATTCCAACCGACTAGGTGGGTATGATAGGACATAAAGGAATATATATTTTAGCCAACAGCTCGTTGGAGTCATCACGACAGGCAAGCCTGACTACCACGTCAAAGTAGTAGCAACGATCGGGTCTATTCAGATCCCTGTTTCAGGTACCTGCTCCCGTTTTTAGTATTCTGCTTCCATACTGTAGACGCCTTGTCATACACTAAGCATTTAAGCTTTGCTTTTTCCAGTTAATGGGACTCGTTAAACGCACTTTTTGCGAAAACGAAATTTAATCGTTTATCAATGAATAACTCACCATACGGTAGCTTTGTTAACTGAATCATTTCTCTCATCACTTGTAGACGAAGAAACGACTGGAACTTCATTTATTCAAACTTTATTACAATGATTTGGAAATTAGACATGTACGTGAGGAGCTCAAACAAAGAGAAGAAGCTGTTGCTGCTGAACATGAACAGCGTCAGTTGATTGAAGAAGAAATGAAGGAGAAACGTCGTGAATTAGGCAAAATCAATCGAGATCAGTCATCTCTAGAACAAGAAATTAAGAAATGTGTATGTTGTGAATTTTTTTCGATGTGCGTTTATTGTCGTGCATTTTTCGTTTTTAGGAGCAAAAGATTGGGAAGAGGAAACCTGAATTTATTAAAGTTTCGCAACTCTTGCGTCATGTTAGCGAAAAGCACAAAGAGTCCAAGTAAAGTTGATTTCATGCATTCATTTTTTTCCTAATCTTAATTTTTTAATCAAAGAAAATCCTTGGAGAATGCTAGACAACTGCATAGTACACATCTACAAGAAATCGATCAGTTAGAGGCAGAATATGAGAAGATATCTGATATACAACGAGATTATGAGCAACAACAGTCTAAAAAATCACTTGAACAAGGTCGAGACCTAGAACTAGAGGAAACTCAGGTTTGTCTATATCCCATTATATATATATATATATATATATATATATATATATATATATATATATATATATCGCTGTGCCTAGTCACCATCACAGTCAGCTCTTTAGTTGAAAAAAGGCGATCATCTTTGACTCATAGACTTCATCTTCATACATTTTATGGTACTCAGTGAAATCATATTAATATGGTACTTGGTTTTGATTATACATGAATCCCAAGAGGCTATCGTAAGTATTAAATGGGACAGTAAACTTTAATATACTGGACTCAGTGAGAGTAGAGTTTCTATCACTGAAATCCTAATAGATAAAGTTAAGCTTCCTGAGCTGAGCAAATACATCTTCAGTTCAACTGTTGATAATAATTTTTTATCTAAATCTTTAAAGGTTTCGTTATTTTTTTATTGAAAGAAACAGCATATTAACTGTTGAATGAGTTTAAATGCCCAGTCAGTTCGGGTTTGAAGCGAATCTCGCCTAGGAAAATATGTAATCATTTATTTCATCATCACAATAGACGAAAAATGGTTTCCTACACAAGAGTATGTAATTTCTTAATACGCAGAGTTGACTTAAAAATCAAATAGTTCTAGGTTAGTTAGCCAGATCAAATCTGTAAATTCGTAGGGAAAGGACTGCAACTTAGTTGCCTAGATCGAATTCGATGTTACAAGCTTGAAATTCTTGACCAACTGGTTGCGAATCGAGTGTTTAAAATTTATACTTGTGGTAGCTGTCTAAAACCTCAACAATGTTCCATTCGATACTGTAGTCAGATGTTATGTTGCTTAAACTTCGTTAACTACAAAGTGTTTACAGACATTATTGTTATATCCTAACGAATAATAAATGAATGGTAACTACTAGGAGTTATTTACGAACTGGTATATATATATCTTATAGCATAACTGTTAAGTAACTAGATTACATACTTATATCTCTTTTATTATAAGCCTTTATTTGACCTATTGGCTATTACGATACTATTCGCCATTCTTAACTTATTCCAGATTTATTAGTTACAGCCTCACACAACCACTTTTGGGTTGATATTGTATAATTGTTATTTTCTATTTTGTGGTATGATGCGGTCTGATTTGCTTGTACATAAACTGCGTATATCTGAAATACATGATTTATGCAGTATAAGCTGATATTATGTTCTTAACTCAACGGGCTGAGCAAAACAAGAAGAACCAATAAGGGCTCGGAGTTGACTCTAGGTTTCTCGTGCTGTTTAACGCGTCATTGGTTTGGCACAGGACCAATGTCATATGAATTGGTGTTTTAATTGGCGATTTAGTTATGTGGTAATTGACATAACATTTATGTTTAACAGAAATAATTTGTGAGGACATTAATTTATGCTGCTTACTATTTTATTCATTTATCCTTATTATTTTATGCCAATTTTTTCGGGGGATCAGTTGTCTGAATATCATCGGTTAAAACAAAAGGTAGCTGAACGAACATCACATTTGTCTGCTGTGCTAGACAATTTAAATCGTGAGTATAATGAGCAGAAAGATTTATATGATGCATTGTACCGAAGAAAAAATGAAATTGAAAGTTCTTTGAAACGTAAAGAAACTGAATTAAATGAAAATAAAAAACGCTTGCAAAAATTATTGGAGTATATTGAGTAAGTTGGTCATATATATTATTAGTTTTTAAACTAATGATGATGGTGTCAGACTTAATTTAGTGATTGAAATCAGTTGGAAGGCTCGTAAATTTGAACAGACTAAGTGGGATTAGATATCAGCCACTTCGAACTCAACTGTACAGTATTTTAAGAGTGGCATACTTCTATGTTTGTTCCTCATTTATTTAATCATTATAAAACTGGTGCTTTGTATACTTCAGATTGAAATTCTTTATTGACTTTACCATGAATTTGGCAATATACACTAAAGTTCGTGTCACATGAAAATGATGTTTAATGAGCCATTTTTGCGAAATAAGTTTCCTAAGAGGAAACTAAAATATTGTTTTAAGCTTTTGAGACAGGAAAAACTATGATTGTTTGACGCTGATAAGTATGCCTGTGTTCTAGAACCTGACGAATGATGAATATGTGGTCGATGCAACCACGATCAAGTCTGAAGCCAGTCTGATTTTCTCGTGTTTGCAGTTCACGAGTATTAGTTAAGCGTCTGATAATTGTCGAGGCTAGTATTTTAGATGCTATATTGATCAAAATAATCTCTCCATGGTTATCACAGGATGATTTTGACCTCTTCTTATATACTGGGACAATCAGTGATTGCGACTAGTCAGACGAAACTACGTTCAACTCCTAGATTTTAGCTAAAATATTAGTTAACCTAATCGTTAAAATTGTACCACCATACTTGAAGACCTTTGGAGCCAATCCATCTGGACCAACTGCTCTTCCTCGTTTCAGATTAGCTGTACTTTTTTGAACTTCAACTAGAATCGTGGGGCCTACTTCAATGTTCCATTCACACTGTTTGGGAATTGTTGGTAGTTGTAGAGTAGCTGAAGGCCAGCTGAACTGCACCTTAAAATGTTCCGCCCATCGTTCTGAACGTCTAGACTGGGAGCAGATAAGGGTGTCGTCTTTTTCAAAGATAATCTCACCTGATGCACAGTGTACTAGTATTTATTCTGCGGAACTTTTAGTACGTGCCTCTTGTCTCTGCACTTATCAGTAGTGTCGGCTTTGTAGTTAAAATTCTCGACGTTAAACTAATAGACTTGACGTTATGACTCCGGTCACCAACGTTTTGGACATTCAGGTAGGATCGCTATACATTACATAAAATATCCTCGACTCAAATCCGAGTGCACAAACTTTTAACCACCTGTCGATTTACAATATTTTTTGCACCGATAAATTTAGATTAAATGTTTTTGTCAGATATCATCGAGCGACTGCTGTAACATATTTACATATACACTATTACTCAACGATTCTTCATTCTTATGTAATATTTAGCTCAAGTAATCGTGCTATAACCGAACAACGTGAAACAGAAAAAGCTATTCGGGAAGAAGTTGAATTGGCCACTAGACGTATTGATGAAATTAATGCTGAGTTAGAAACTGTTGTTTGTCAGCTTGGTGAAGCAAAAGTTGAACGACATGAATCATCTCGTGCAGCTAAAAAACAAGAGCTTATTGAAAATTTAAAACGTCTTTTTCCTGGAGTTGTAAGTAGCACTATATATTAATACATTTCTAATAATTAAATTATCATGTGGCTACTAATCTTAAAAATTAGTGCAGTAATCACACTCACAAATTCATGTACTACTAGAGTGATGAAAATATATTTTTACTGACTCCTTGTTATCAATCGTTGAAAGCGATCGCTAGTTTAGTGTGCATCAATTTTTATCCAAGTACTAGTGTTTACAAATAATGATGTTAAATTTATACGGCTCACATCTAATACGTATGTTACAAAATGAGTCAGTTATGATACCAGTCCCGTGTGTCCCAATAAGTGTAAAAAGTTTAAGCATCACTACAGCATTTCTGCGGGACCTGATTATTTTTTAACAAAGTAGTTGTAGTTGAATTTACGTTCAATCTTTATTGTTTTAATTAATTTACAATAATTAAAGTACCTTGTTGATATCGTTGAAGTTTATTACATGTTCTCACATTATACAGTTGGTATTTAGTAAATGATCTCAGTACTCCAAATACACTAAACGTATTACATTGCAATAGTTTTCATACTGTCAGCTTTTCAGTCGCTTATAAAGTAGTTAACATAAGCCTAGGTGATTAGTAATATAGAAGACTGTTGGGTTAGATTAGTACTTCTTTATGCGCCGTTGACTCCTGTATGAAGTATGAGAGTTCACTTATTTACGTACGCCTGTTACCCCCAATGGAGCATAGGCCGCCGACCAGCATTCTCCAACTCACTCTATCATGGGCCTTCCTTTATAGTTCGATCCAATTGTTGTTCATCCTTCTCATGTCTCTCTCCGTTTCTCGAGGTAATATGTTCTTGGATCTTCCTCTTCTCCTTTGGCATTGAGGATTCCATGTGAGGGCTTGCCTCGTGACACGGTTGGATGCTCTCTTCAATGTGTGTCCTATCCATCTCCAGCACTTCTTCCTGATTTCTTCCTCCACTGCGATCTGGTTTGTTCTCTCCCACAATGGGTTGTTGCTGATAGTGTCCGAACAACGGATCTGAAGTATTTTGCGTAGACAACTGTTAATAAACACCTGTATTTTCTGAATGATGCCTTTCGTAGTTCTCCAGGTTTCTGCCTCATACAGTAGAACTGTCTTGACATTTGTATTGAAAATTCTAACCTTGGTGTTGGTTGACAGTTGTTATGAGTTGCAGATGTTCTTCAATTGTAGATATGCTGCTCTTGCTTTGCCGATCCGCGCCTTCACATCTGCATCAGATCCACCGTGCTCATCAATGATGCTGCCTAGATATGTAAAGGTTTTTACATCCTCCAAAGCTTTTCCATTAAGTGTGATTTGATTAGTGCGTGTTGGGTTGTGTCGGAGAATCTTGCTTTTCCGTTTTTGTATGTTGAGATGTACTGCTGCTTAGACTGCTGCTCCACTGGTCGTCTTCTCATGTATTTGTTATTGTGTGTGCGATAGAAGAGGCAGACCATCTGTGAAGTCCAGATCGTCCAGGTGTATCCTAGCTGTCCACTGTATCCCGCTCTTCCCCTCACATGTTGACGTTTTCATGATCCAGTCGACCACCAGAAGAAAGAGAAAGGGTGAGAGTAAGCAACCTTGTCTGACACCTGTCTTTACTTCGGACGAGTCTGTAAGCTGTCTTGCGTGCACGACTTTGTAGTTTAACCCATCATAAGAATTACGTATGATGTTCACTATCTTCTGAGGCACGTCGTAGTGTCGAAGAGGCCCCCATAGTATTGTCCTGTCCATGCTATCAAATGCTTTCTCGGAGTCAATGGAGTTGATGTAGAGTGATGAGTTCTATTTAATCGATTGTTCCATAATGATCCGTAGGGTTGCAATGCGGTCTGTACACGATCGATCATTCCGGATTCCAGCTTGTTGATCTCAATGTTGGGCGTCTAGAGAGTCCTTCATTCTGTTTAACAATACCCTGTTGAAGACTTTTCCTAGTATTGAGAAAAGAGTGATGCCTCTGTAGTTCTCACAGATGCTGAGATCGCCTTTCTTTGGTATCTTGATGAGGTGTCCTTTCCAATCTTTCTGAAGAGAATATGGAGTATCTTTGCAGTTACTTCTACGTCTGCTTTCGGTGCATCTGCTGGGATGTCTGTTCCCGTTGCTCTGCCACTCTTCATTTGTCTGATGGCCATGCTGATCTCTCCAATTGTTGATGGGCCGACATGCTGGGTGGGTTCAGTGGGGCTGGTCGATTCAAGAGTTCTCTGAAGTGTTCTACCCACCTGTTTCGCTGTTCTTGAATGTTGGTGATTACATTGCCTTACTTGCTTTTTACCGGTCGTTCTGGTTTACGATAATTTCCAGCAAGTTTTTTTATTGTGTCATACAGTCCCATGATCTCTTCATATCCGATGTTGTCCGTTCCAACCTTAGCATTTAGGTCTGCCCTCAGAATGGTCAAGTCCTTTGTTGGGCACTTCTCGACGATTGACTGCAGCATATCGTAGAATTGATTTTTAACGTCCTCATTGTAGTCGTTGGTAGGCGCATAGCGTTGTGTGACGTTCATTGTAATACCCCCTTTCTTTATACGAATATTCGTCAAGGTTAGAACGAATAGTTTGACAGAAATTGAGCGCCGTGTATAGAGAAGTCATTATATGTGAAATATTCTCAGCGATTGAAATTTAAATCCAAACAAGTTTGCTGGACGAAACGTTGGAATTATTTAACTTTCAATAGCTGAGAATATTTCAAATATAATTTTCACATATAATGACCCCGTTCCTTTGTTTTGAAAGAGGCTTTGATGATCCTGTGTCCATGAGATTCCCATCCTATAAATGCTTTTTGTGCTTGTTTGGATAGCATCGGTGCAACTCTGTGTATGTGGAGCATTTTCTTCCTCATGGTTGGAGTATAGCAGAAGCTCCCCTGAAGCTAGTCTTTGTGGTCCAACCTGCGTCGAATGTTTCACTTATTCCAGGCACCTCCAGGTTGTATCTCTTGATTTCTGCAGCAATTTAGGAAACTCTCCCGGTCTCCCACCTTGTACGAACATCCTATGTACCTAAATTGATGGTTGCTCTGGTTGTCAGAAGGGGCATCGGCCTCGTGACTTCCGAAGGAACTCGGCTTTCATCATGAGGCGTCATAACTCTTCTATATGAAGACCTTCCGAAACCCAGGGCAGAATTTAATTGGTTTGAATAATTTTTTTCTGGTTAGCGTTTCTTTAGCGTGTTAGCATTCTATGGGATGGGATCGCTAACCTCATGACTAATCCTCCACCTTTATCCGGGCTTGGGACCGGCAGTAGCTCCGGAGGGACTCCAGGCGGAATTATGAGAGCCCATCCTTGACTCTAATACTTTTCATCTTATTGTTATGAGTCAGCTATGAGGTTGTATCATAATACTGATAACAGTTAGCCAGTCAATCAACCAGAAACAACTTAGGACCTAGTACATATGTACATCGGTCCAAGTTGCCACACCACATCACAGGGACAGTGCTAAATCTCTTTAGTTAGGGTTCAGTATAGGGCTACAGTACTTTCAAAACTAGTAATATTTGAGCTACTGTGATAAGATTGGTTATATTTTGTGAAATAATATACCGGATGTCTGATGTGAGCATTTCACACCACTTTGTACACTTTGCTCTAGGGAACAGAATGAGTATCATTAGGTGGTAAATGACTCGTATACTATGATTAATTTTTATTCTCTGTAACATTATTATGGTTATGATTTTATTATTACCATCAAGCATGGCCGATTACTGGAAATGTGTCAACCATCACATCGCCGTTATCAAGTGGCAATTACGAAAGTCCTTGGCAAATATATGGATGCTATAGTCTGTGATAGTGAAAAAACAGCTAAAGAGTGTATTCAGTATATGAAAGATCAGCGTATTGAACCGGAGACATTTTTACCACTTGACTTTTTGGATGTGAAGCCGATTGATGAGAAATTACGGTAAAAAATATTCAATGATTACAATTGTGATCATTTTTGTACCTGTAAAACGAATAAACACCAGAAACACAATTCATTATTAATGGATACATTTGCATTTGATTGATCATTGAGTAGTAGTTACCATTATCATATATCCAGCCCTTTAGTTCTGATCGAATTCTATCGATCAAGTAACGATGTGGTCACAAGTGACTGGAAATCAGATTTACTATGTTGGGACCATCTTTCATTCCTTGCAGTGGACGACTGTTTCATACCCGATATGACTGAACTCTGTTGATCATGGCTTTCTAGAACTTCAGGGATTATTTGCACAATATTGTACCTTCGGCCTCGAGACCGACTCCTGAATGCAGGGCCGTATTTCCACATTTCCGGGGAGCCCCATACTGGGAGGAAACATTCACAGTGCTACCTTGTTCTCAGTGGTGGTCTAGTTTAGATCAGTTTGTGATTTAAATCATGAAAAGTGATGTTTGTTACTACCTAGTAGTTGATTCGCAATGGTATTTATTACTTTAGAGATAGTCAGATTTGTTCTCCGAACAAAATGATTGGGGAATTAGTCAACTGAACCATTCGTCGCGCGTTTAATAATGTTAATAAATTCATTTCTGACTTGTTTTAAAGTTGGGAGTTGTACGTTCTGTCGATACCTTTCATTTTTACATTTGTAGGGCTCAGAATAACTCCCGATTAGAAATACTCAAAGGGTTTAGTAATTTAAGCAAATATTATTTCATGAACTGCTTATTGGTTTTGTACTCTTTAGTTTTGATTATCGTGAAACCCTAGCACTGGCGTTCCTATTCTCCTAGATATTTTTAAAGTATTCTCTGGAAATGGAACTCATCATTCATCGTATCAGATAGTAAACTACAGTAACCTCAACGGGCGTAACCATTCAATATTGCTTCATATCATTGACTTACAAGACTGAATAAGGTAGTATTTACTGATTTTTATTACACTATGACAATGTCAGACTGCAACAATGTTATAATTAAAATTACTTCTTAACATCAGATACTTTATTAGAACTACTCACATATCATTGGATATAAATCTCGTTTGACTAGTTTATTTCATTTATCTACATAATTTTGCAAGATAAACATTTTTTCTCGTTTCGCCATATTTTATTTTTCGCCTTTAAATAGTGAAATCAGTGATCCACCTAATGTTCATTTAGTAATTGATGTTATCCAGTGCGATCCAATTATAGTAAAGAAGGCGTTAACATTTGCATGTGGCAATGCATTAGTATGTGAAACTGTCGAACATGCTCGTTATGTTGCTTATCATATGGGTGACAGAAAGAAGGTAAGCTATATTTATCTCTATATATAGTCCTATAAACAGTTAACTCTCATCATTAATTATCTAATTTTTAATTCGTTTAAACTTATATGCACTGAGCGAAAGATGTCAGCTCAGATTTCACGTTTGTTGACAATACGTATGTGTATTCCATGCATCCATGTATCTTAAAATTATAAGAAAATGTTATACAGTTGTTGTGGATAAGGCGGAGATACTTAATACCCTGGGAATGTATATAAGGTCTTCTGAAAGTCATTCTCTTCCGAATAAATGAGAAGTTTAGTCTGTAACTTTATCACTAGATATCACGGATTTGTACCTGAGAAAATTAAAGATTCTTTTAGTTACGTATATGTTGAATGCCAAGAAATGTTGATCAAGGACCTGTTATCATTTTCTCCTGATAATTAAGTGTATTAATGTTGATATTTCCCTCGACCTGTAAAGGTGTCTACTGTCGTTTTGTGGTAAATTGTTTTTAGTGTCTTCAGTAGTGGTTTCTAAAATCTTAAATCTGTTTAATAACTCTAGAAATCTGTAAAATAAGTGAGGTAAGTCAAATATCTGCAATCATTCTTTTCGACTCCTCATGCACTTTATGAGATGGCAATATTACTTGTTGTACTTTAATTCACATGAAACATTTATAAGCAACTAAGTGCTAATATGCTAATGTTTACAACAATAATACTGTGACATAGTTTTAGGGATTCGAAATATAACTTTCAATCTTTACCTCATAATAACTGTTCCTTTTTTAAAAAAATTGTTTACTTCACTAGACGGTTTCGTTAGAAGGCACTCTCTTTCAACGTTCTGGTGTTATATCCGGTGGTGCAAGGTAAATATTTAATTATTTATTTGAAGTCCAAATACTTTTAGTTATATCATATCATAATCGGTTTAAAAAATGACAGTTTTGTCCTCATGTATTTTCAAATCCTAGTTTTCTTCTGCACAAATTTGTGTTGTTTGTCAATTATCACTTTTATGTCATTCATAATCGCCTCCTAGTTTGGTACTCTCCACACTACATTTATGATAATTTGTATATATACCTCATTTTTCTCTAGGGTGAAAATAGAGCTCTTCTTTCCTTTCGCTGCGTTCGAAATTTAAAGTAGCGATAGCTTGACAAATTCGTCTTTCACATTCAAGTTCAACACTGTTATCGATCCTGTTGGTAATTGTTATAACTCGTGACCTTGTGCCCAATTATTATATAACGTAATGTTACCACCAACGACCAATGACGTGTAAACCCGTACGAGCAGTCTAGAGTCTTTATCGGTCTTTCTTCCTGCCTGTTGAGTCCAGAACACAAATCTCAGCCTCCGCGAAATGAATCATGTATTTGAAACAGGCAGGTACATCCAGCTGACGAGTCTCAAGTAGGATGAATCGCGCGTCCTGGATTCCACTGCTAGCCACTATCCATCTTTGCTTATAATACTGGGTTTATATCCTTATCTTCAATTCTACATAAAAGTCGACATGATATCAACATTCTTTATTAACCGATTTTACCGTACTCACGATCAATGATTCGAAAACATTTCTGATCAACCATCAAAAACGTACATATATTTAGTGATTTGATAAAATCCACTTGGAAGCTTGTAACTAAACTGAAAAGGTGGATTAGTGATTCAATAACTTATGCTATTCACCTTAACATGCTGTTTACCTACTTTCTGGTTTAAACTTTTCTCATACTCATGCAAAATAGAGAAATATCCTGTGAGTTTGATGACTATCTCCTGTGGCCTTCAACTTCCAAGTCGAGAGTGATCAATTTTCCTGATATAATCTTTAAAATTCTCAGGATATATATATATATATATATATATATATATATACATAAGATGTACTGTTATATGTTTTGTCTCCATTTCTGTCAGATATAACATAAAAACTGATGATTAACATTTTTAACCTGATTGCCGTGTCCTTTTGTTTCTGTTTTTCTAAACAGTGATTTAAAAGCTCGCGCTCGCCGTTGGGATGAGAAACAGATAAGTACACTTATGTCTAAACGAGATGCTTTACAAAATGAACTGAAAGAACAATTAAAACGTAAACGTAAAGAAGCTGAATTGCGAACTATTCAGTCACAAATCAAAGGTCTAGATACTAGGCTAAAGTATACATTAAAAGATAAAGATAGCACGGTTAGTTAGTATATTTTATAAAGATAGAATAAATATCTGGTAATTAAGGACATTCGTACTTGTTTTTTTTAAATAGAATCTTTGCAATAATTGGTTACTGAAATATTTGTCAACTTGTAATGTAGCTCAGTTGGCTAAGTGACTTAAAAGCTTGTTGATAGTCATTAGTATATCATCTTTATAATCTTTTCATAGTACTCATAATAGTTCATTTCAATACCCATCATTTAATATTTATGTTAACCTACGTTCAAATCCATGCATAATTAGCTATGAACCACATTTAATTTGTAACTGAATTCGATAGCAAAAAGTGACTCTGAATAAAGAATTTGAAACACATGCCCTTAGGTAAACTTGTCTAGAGTTCCAACCAAACAGACTGATGGCACAGTTGCTAAAAATGTCTCGATTTGGCTATTTGGTAACAATATTATCATATTATTAAACGAACTATAACAAACTTCAGTACTATTTCGTTGTACATAAACGATTTAAGGATTATTAGAAACTTTTTGATCAGTGTTTCTTAAATTACATTCAACTGTGAACTAGTAAAGTGAATGAACTGACCTTATATGTTTGAACTGTTTGGATTTAGCAATTAGAAATATCTTTACTTGTGGAAAACAAATAATTTAAAGGTAGAAATAAACGCTAATACTGTTAACTTCACGTTAAGCCTAATATTCTTGATCAATATATTATGTATTGTGTTAGATATATACAAGGTTTCTTTTTTTTTCAGGAAGAGAAACTTCTTAGTACAAACGAAGAGGAAATGAATCAAATCGCTCGTGAATTAGAAGAAGTTGAAGTAAGGGAAATATATTTTTATTCATTCTCTGTGAAACTAATTCTAAACATATCCAGTCTAGTAGTAGTGTTAAGGATAAAACAGTTTCCTTAAATCTGTCAGCTAAACTTACATCTTTTTTATAGTATGTTTTACAGACCTAAATTTAATACAGCGACTTCTTGGTTTAAGGCATTTGGCTTTTAGTCACTTAGTCCCAGGTTCGAACCATACCCGAACTACTTTGGTTTGGGCACTCGTGTATCGACATTAAACTTCATATTGTGAATGTGGCTATTACTCAAGTACTTGGTGATCGAATTAATTCATAAATTATATATAGCCCTTGTCAGATTTACTTACCAGTTCGTGCATTTCTCTCACTAGAACATTCCGATTCATCAAAAGGCTCGATGTGTTTTGATATCTTGGTTTTCTTTGTTAATTTGATTCGTTCAAAGTCATTATTAAATCTGTTATGCCAGTTTCTTCTTACAAGTTTTCACTAAGTAGGTTTGTCAGGAAATGATAAAGACTAATTGTTACGATTATTAGACTACTGAAATGATTATTTGTTTAGTCAAATTAATGATTTTCTAGTGAATTATTCGTTGATTCTAACTAAACTGATCATACATTCAAGTTTTATGATGACAAGAATATTATTTCTGATTAAATCTTAATGGTATGTTATGGTCTAGTGGCTACGATACCTAACATACATACTGCATTAGTTTGAAGCCTACTCAACGTACTTTGATTTGTTATATGTGGGCAGACAGAAAAATGACTTGATTATTTGACTAAGAGAGCAATCTTGCTTTTATATTACTTAATGTATTCTCAGCATCTCCAGCTGTTCTTTTTTCTTAATGTTTTGTTTACCTCAGGAAAGTTTAGGTCGTTGCCAGACAAAAATGCAGGAATTACAAATATCAGTTAATGCCGAAAAAGCTAAAATGGATACTGTGGAGGATACTGTGTTTCATGATTTCTGCGTACAGATCGGTGTAGAAAACATTAGGTAGTTGAAAAATGTGGAATATATATATATAGGATTATCATGATTTCCTTTCATTGATAGTAATATGTTTTTAAGAGAAATAATTTTTTTAATGTTATTTTAGCTGTTTACAATGTACGTATTCATCTCTATGTCATACTTAAAAATGAACTATTTTAAGTTTGATAAGCTGAATAAACAAGTCATTTGTTTATGATGTTTGCTGTTTACTTGACAATAAAAATAACTCAAGTTCGTAGAGGTAGATATTATTGAGCGCATGACAAGACGGATCAGTTTGAGTTATCTCCTGAACCGTAAAATTCGTTAGCTAAAGTACCAACAGAAATATATTGGTAAATATCCCGTCAAATGGTGTATCTAATGTCATAATTTTGCAATCAGTCAGTGATAAACTCTAGACATAATTTCCAACCTTCTTGACATGGGTTGGTCAGACATATTCCCCACGTCGAACAAATTCAAGCTAATGTCTCTTCAGTTTTAACTGATGCGTGTCAGGAACTGATCATACGCAGCAATGCTGGGTTTAGACACAGGGTGCTCTGTACAGATGACGAATAAGTTGATGATTCAGGAATTCTTCATCGATTGAAGTGATTAAAATATATATTACGTATTTTTAACCACTACTTCAACGAATACTGCTTGCTGTAGGAGAAAGCTTGACGATAGCTAAAAGTGCCCAAAGCTATATGTGGTATCAGTCCATAAATTCATCAACTATTTGCTAAGCTATGATAGTAGGTGCAAGCTACTTATTTGAAGTTAGCTTGATTACCGTAATTAGTTTGACGTTGGTTGACATGTCTCAGAATGACACAGATGCATTCATTCCTTATTTCAAAATATTTATGTTTTCATTCCACCACCCTATTCTTCATTCCTAAATCGTATTGTCTCTGTCTAATCCTTCCTACTATTACCACTAGTAATGTAATTACTTGTACTCCGTCGATAATTGTCTTGAAGACTTTATCTCATTATGTTCATTTGGTGTGGCAACATTGAACGAACATGAATTAGTTCAGGTTATCTCGAATCACCACAATGAGAGAAAATTAAATCGATTAGAAACAAAGAAGACGAAATAATGCCAACTTCAGTGTAAATCTAAACATGAGAAATGTAGTTCAGAAGTAAAAAATAATAAAGAAGTATAAAAATCAGTGGATAACACCTAACTCAAGATCTAAATAAACTTTTAAAATGAATGTATCTGCACCACCGATCAATCGTTAAGCTATGTAACCTAACCAGTGTTGCATTAAAATTCTTTGTACTGTTTATCGTCTGTTAAAAAAAACAATTCACTCACTAAGCTGTAGCATGATATTAGGATGTATTTTGGTTGCAGGTAGCAGATCGTGATAATTGTGACCATTTAAAAAACTTGGACTCAGAAATTCTCTCCAATCGACTTCAAATAAATTAAACCAAACTAGATCCCATCTCAACATCTTATCACCTAGCTTAGTAACTATTTCTCATCATTAAATCAATAAATGATGATAAGCATCCCAGTTCTTATCATTCAGTCCAAATATACACAATATAAGGCCACTGATAAACCATTTCAAACTCCGAAGTGTCTAGTTCATTCTGTAGTAGTTCTTTATGGTGTTATGAGGGACTTGGCTTAGTAGTTAAGACGTCTAACTTTTATCGTTTAAGCCTCAAGTTCTAAACCCTCTCCACCTACTTTAGTTTGAGCGACTGGGTAGCATCATTAGGCTTCATACCTAGAATGTGGTTCATATCCAGGTACGTGGTGTGTTGATATTAATTAGTTTTGTAGAACACCACCATGGAAGTTAGATATTGTATGTATTTTGTCATTGATTTCCTAACTAATTATATTACTTGCACGTAATGAAATTAACAAACAGTTTTCTTCAAGGTTACCGTAGGTCTGGTATTTGTTTTATTATGTTAGTTGATGAGTTAATTATACTGTACAAAGTCTTTTCAACGCATGTTTATTTTATTTTATATCCCACTTAGGCAATATGAAGATCGAGAGTTGAGAGTTGCTCGTGAACGTGATCGTAAACGGCTTGAGTTTACAAATCAACTTCAAAGAATAAATAACCAACTGGAATATGAGCGATCACGAGATACTGAAGGTTTGTTTGGTTCGGGTTGCTTCAATATGTATTTTATACATGTTTTCTTTTAAAATAACGTTGATAAATGGAATTCTTACAATTTAATTATACAGACAGGTTTTCTTTAAAATCATATTTTAAGTTTAGAGTTTAAAGTATTCTAAATGCTTTTGTAATTTGTGGTCGGCGGATACTAATATGGCGGATGAGATACTCCTAGTAACAAAATCTAGTTTGACCAGGTAGATTGAATTTTATTTATTATTTATTTATTTTAACACATAGATATTGGTACAAGGAGGCACCAAATACATATGCGCAACACAGATCTCATTTGATATGTGTGAGGGCTGTGATACTGCCGGGGTGCTCAAACCGAAGCAGGTGGTTTTCTTAGGGGGCCATACCTGGAGCCTTTGACCTGATGGTCTGATCCATAAGGCAGTGGAGCATCGTAAGGAGATGCAGTCCCATGGTAGCCGGTGACCAACAATTGGTTCATACGCCATTTATTCCTTCAGGACACTGGAGCCCATGTGCACCATTGGTTTGGAATCAGGGTTTTCCAACTCCCCTAGGTGCACTCTTCATGTCCACTAACCCGGCTAAAGCGACGGACATTCGCTTTTCGTCCTCTCAATTTCGTAAACAACACCCCTGCCACGAGAATGCAGTGAGTAGGACTTCTCTGGCAGAGGCTATATACGCATGGCCATGTGATAGCATTTGGAGAGGGAGAGCGGACTCTACCCTCTCTCGGCCGTACCAAGCGCATTTGGGTGCAGTGGTGCAATGATCAAGACATTTGACTTTCAGCTAATGTCTCTTGTTTTAGCGTCGTTCTACTTTTTACTGTCTAGGCAACCGATTAATATCAAAGCCAGTTACACAAATTTGCAATTAGTGAAAAGCCAAAAATGACTCTGCATGTCCAGATTCTGCTGTCTTTTACTGTGGTCCTAGCTATGTTATGTTTCATACCTTCTAAATTTACTGTTGTGTTTCATTGTTAATACGTCACTACTAATGCTGTAATGATTGGTGATCGATGGTAGTTGTATTCTGCATACCTTCTCATAAAGTCAATCCCTAATCTATTAGATATTTAAAAAAACTGACCATCTGTCTTGTTATCTAAATAACTTCTATTGGAGTAAGAGGTAAGATAATTTCAAGTTGTTTACTAAATCATAAATAATTAGTTAAAAGCTAAAACCATAACTACTATTGAAGTTAGATTTATGATTGTTATGTCAATTATATTGTTTGAATAGCTACTTTTAATCGTAGGGAAAAATTATCAAATTTCCGATATTTTTTGAATATTTAATATGATCTGTTGAAATCAGTTGTTTGTCGAAGAATAAAATTGAAATATCCTCACTACTAACTATTAAAACCAACCATCACGCGTTCATCACTTGGTAAACTCTAACATATGAAGGAATTTGCATGTTATGAGTACATTCTTTATGGTATAAAAATTGTTATATTTTTCGTTGTTGCTCACTCCTTTAAAAATAATCAAGTGTGTTCAGATACCATTAGAAACATACATTACCTCATTAAATGTGTGGATTTATCACTTAAATAAATGTAAATATTAGTCACTGTTTCTTGGGATGTTACCTTTCTTAAACTCCATCCCTGTAATAAATTATTTTAAGCAACTGTTATTTACGATACACCAATATTCATCTATCCGTCCAGAACTCCAACTTTCAATAATTCAATGTCAACTTCGAATTAACCATTTAACTTGTTGTCCACTTTCCATCTAAGACTGCTTACCAGTATGTACTCCTAACTCACTACTCAGGACCTTCAGGCTTCTCAACGGAGTGTATTACCTTTAGACCATTTATTCTGGATCCGATGGTTCACATTTCCAATATCATTCAATTTAAGGTATTCGGTGGGGTCGATTGGCTTTTGTCAACTTGTGTCGTAGGCGAGATATCGGCCGAATTTATTACGAAGTAGTTCATTCCGTTCTACTTTATGGATGTGAAGCATGACCATCAGGAATAAAGGATATTCGTAGGGTTCTAATATTCGATCACAGGTATCTTCGAAGCGATGCTCGTGTATTTTATGATCACGGAGTGAGCAATGTCTGGATTACGAATCGGGTACTAGGCGATGACGACAAACCGATTGATGAGACAGTAGATCTTCACCAACTAATGTGGTTGGGACATGTGTTACGTATGCCTGTCCACTGCTTATCTCGAAGAGCGATGTTTTCTGATATGAAAGCTAGGGGAAGCCAGACCTAAACATTGCATCAAACTATTAAGGCATTAACAATCGAACTTCGGCGTGTTAATCAGTATAGACTACCTAGTTGGTGTCGGCATGATTATCGTAACTAATGGTTAGAGACTTTGAATGGCATGTCTCAAAATCGTTTGTAGTGGCGCAGATGCATCCGTTCTTTGTCTTCTTCCAAATGCTGACAATCTAAATTTCTCATAACTTCTTTTGTTTTTATTTTGCTGACATATTTTCTTCCGGAATCATATCTTCGATGCCTAATCCTTCATGTCACCAGTGATACTGTTACTATCTCTAATATTCTGGGATTTGACCTGACAGTTTGTTCTCATTGTGCTAATGGGGTAGATTGAACTGATGTACATATGTACCAAATTCTGTGTTGTGATTGACTGAATTAATGGGGTCATTGAAAGTGACAAACTAGATAAAACAAGTGTTCGCTGCTCTCTTATTTTATAAATTTCACCGGTTGTCAACAGCTATTTCAGCCTTGAATTCATCTTTACATTTGAACAATTAATCCTGTTATTGTTTATCGTATCATATTTCTGTGTAGCAAATGTTAAACGTTGGGAAGAGACTGTTTCCGTTGAACGAACTGAAATGGATAAATGTAAAAAACAAGAGAAAAAAATTAAGGAGGAAATGGAACAAGAAGAGAAAAAGAAGACAGAGGTTGAATCACGTGTCGGTGAATTGAAATATCGTGCAGAAATGCTTGATGGAGAATTAGGTGAAATTCGTAGACGTTTAGTGAATAAACAACGTGATATTCAAAAATTACAGAAGGATTTGAATCAAGCCGAAGCGAAATTAGAATCTAGACGAGCTGAACGTCATTCACTTTTACAAGCTGCTAAGGTAAATGAATAAATCATCACTGAATGTATTGATATTTGTCTGTCTGCCTGAGGTAGTTAGTAGAAACCCTCATTTGATCTAAGTTTCGTGCTATTGTGACGTACTACTTGTTCGGACGAATATAAGTAATATGTATCAGGAATTGAAAGTAGAATTCTTACGGACAGAAGAGGAAAGAAAGCAGTAAGCAATCGAAACAACAACAGGAATGAAAGCACGTTGGAGTTTGTAACGGACAACTCAAGGAACATTGGTAAATAGTGTATTTGATGTATTGTTTCGTAGTGTACAAATACATTATGTGATTTTGCATACTGAAATAAATTGGTTTACTACATAAGACTTCGTTCGCTGCACAAGTTGACAATTGTGTGCAAGACGCAACTGTATTTTTAAAGGAACTGACACCTCCGGTATACTTTGAACCTACATCACCAAGCTCCATAGCATGAATCGCCATCACAGGGTTGTTCAAGTTGCAGCTAGCTGAAATGTTTATAAGTGATTGATCACTGATTAGTGAACGATGTCATGATTCTCTAGTGCTTTAGTCCTAACCGAATTCTGTCGACCGTGTGTAATTATGTGTCTATGAAGGACGTATCGTCTGTCTTTTTGTCATTTACACAAAATTTGTTTTTTATTTTCATGACTATAATAAGGATTATCTAAATATTTCCGGTGTATTTAAATTTTAGATGGAGGATTTAGATTTGCCATTGAAACAGGGTTGTGATCCAATTCCTGAATTGAATAGTCAGTTGACAGATAATGAAAATATGGATCCTAGTACAGAGGAAATGGTTCATATTTATGAATTGGAAGCTCGTTTACCGATTGATTTCAAACATCTTGATAAGCCTTTACGACAAATGACTGATGAGAAGGAAGTCAATAGAAAGTAGGTCATCCATACTGATTACAGTTTCAAATACTAAGGTTGTCTTTGTTTTCTTGTATTTACGTCGATCATTTTATAGAGGTTCAATTTTGATTTATGGGAGTAAACTACGTAGAGAAATAGATTCTGTTGGTCCCTCCAGCAGTATTCAGAAATTCTGTCCAGTACAGCAAAACATTACGCCTCGATTGCGTAACTTCCAACCTGAAAATATTCAACGCTACCACATTAAAAATTCACTGCTTCTTATCATTCTGTTCTTGACATTGTAGGATTTTCGAAAATAACAAATAATAAAACTGTATTACTATATTAGAATAAACAGAACTAACTATCACGTCAAGATAGAAGCCAAAGTTCAGTGTATTCAGTGAGAAAATGTAATTATACACTTCTGTTGTATTTTATCTTGGTCATTCACTCACCATCAAAAAATTCGCTTTATGACATTGTGGCATGATGTGCACGGTCTCAATTGATCGGAATGCGATTGGCCTTACAAAATTGATTCTGTTGTAGATCATCTGTCTTGCTTTCTGGAGTAGTTCTACTTGATGGTTCGTGTCAGTAGTTTTGTTTTGTAGTCATCTGTCATTGGATCAGGTCGTAACGTTACATTTCATTCATCGATCAACATCTTACTGATTTATTTTAACACTAAAACTCGTTCACTCAAAAAGCCCTAATTTTTAACACATGGCATACTCGTTTTTATCAGGATATTTATTTGCTCGTATAAATCCCTTTTTATACAAGCAAGCATCAATATTCATTGGTTTGCACAGCAACCTCAAATGGTACTGGGACACCTTGAGCATCTGGGCTACCTGTTCCTGCCATCTAGATATTTCAACAAGTTATCTATTTTTGTTTGTTTTAATATATCATTGTGTCTATTAATCGCACAACCTATTCTGCTGCGTTTCTGAAAAATGTACAACCTTTCGTTATCAAAGTTACAAAAAGCTCAAAAAGAGAGAATATGGTTGCTGGCAATATACAACGAAAAGAATGTACATCATTCCCATGTTCATTTACCGGACTGATGACATCTAGCTGGCGACCACTCAGTATTTATCGCGAGGACCGACCAAGAAGAAAGAAACGGAAACTTGTTGAAATACTTTGTGCTGAGAATTCTATATTGTACCAATAATATAATATTGAATAAAGCTAATAATAATAATAATAATAATAATAATAATAATAATAATAATAATAATAATATTTTTAAACAGTTGACTAAATTAATTAGATATCCATCCCAATGTATTTCGTCCTCATCCAATATACTGACGATAAGCTCTATCATCTATTTGTTACAGATAAAATTCAAACTAGTTCACTAGTCTTCTAGTATCATAAATTTCAAAATAGCATGTTTTTGTCATGTATTTTTTAAAATTGTTTTATAGAGCTGAAGAAATGCAAAATCAAGTTGATTCAATGTTAAATAGTTTGGCTCGTATACAAGCTCCAAATTTACGAGCAGGTGATAAATTAGGCAGTGTTGAAGAACGCCTACGATCAACTGAAGCTGAATTTGAAGATACACGACGTAGAGCTAAACGGGCTAAAGCTAGATTTGAACGTGTTCGTCGGTTACGATATAATGCATTTATGAATTGCTTCAATTCCATCGCTGATAATATTGATCCGATTTATAAAAGTTTATCAAGAAATCCTGGTGCTCAAGTAGGTTTTGCATAGTTTATTCATTTGTTATGATATGCTAAGAAACAGACTGTTAATGTACTGAGTGGAACATTTCTACGTTAAACTTATCACGACTGTTGATTCAGTCACAAAGAAAATTGAAGTAGATTTTATATTTTTTGTCTCGCTCCATCTATTCATCTGTACGAAAGTGAAAACAGTCGAATTTTGATTTATTGTTTTGTCTTATTTCACTTATCATAAAGTAACAAACTGGTTTTCTCTGTCCATATAATCGCTCATTAATAATTAGACAGTTTTCTTTTTGTCAGTAAGGAGTTTGTGTGGGTTATCGGATTTCGGGAATAATTTGAAATAAGAAGATTCATCCGGTCGATTAGTAGTGACTAAATATTGATAGGCTCTACTCATTCTATACTTCGCTTTTGAGAATATATAAGATCCCCACTATCGTTTTTTAAACCCCACACAAAAATCCAGTTGATTTCTTACTAAATCTGGTTGATTTTTTAGTGAAGTACACTTTTACCAAATGTTCTTTTTATCTTGTCACATTTGTCTTTATCTTTTAAAGAATCTCTGTTAAAAAATAAGTATCAATTGTTTGCCAGTGTTTAACAACGTAACTTATCGTAATAATGGTAACAAAAATGATAGTAGACTGATCCTATCTATGTAGTAATTTTTTTTAAACGGAATCAAACAAAAATAAATCAGTATGGGGATTTGTATTTGTAATATCTTCACAGCTGAAATCACGAGTCGATCTAAGCTGGACCGCCATTGGAAACCTGGAAGCACTGGACGGCCGTTTGATAGAGGTTAGACATCAACACCGTTAGATGCCAGCCCAGTGGTCTAGAGGCTAAGCGTTCGCGCACGAGAATTTAGGTCCTAGGTTCGAGTCCCGCGTGTGGGGTTGTAGATGCACACTACTGAGGTTTCCCATACTAGGACGAAACGGTCGTCCTGTGCTTCTGGCTTAGGTCGAGCTTAGATCTAGTGGTGGTCTAGCTTAGATCAACTCGAATTCAACTGCGAAAATACTACTATCTCCACAAACCCCTCATATTGATAAATAACATATCAAACAAATAACGTATGAAAATTATCGAACAAATTTTTTTAGAGCAAACAAGAAGTAGCTACATTAAAAAGTTATTTACATATACTGTATGTATGTTAAAAGTGTCCAAAGTAGTTGATAAATTTCTAATCATAGAATAATACCTTCAAATATAACATTTGTATGTTAACTGAATCAGTTTTATGTTGTTCAGATAATGTAGCATCAACTGAAAATATGTACAATATATGTACGTTAGTGATATTGGAAAACAATAAGTGAAAATAAAAGCGTATTCTGTGTTAACGGGATATAGATTAAATTATAGCATATTCCATGCAGGACTGTTTCGGGGCACTCTGATTGTCCATTTCTTAATCAATCAGCGCTAATGGATACTTGGAAAAGACTAGAATATTCTTTTGCTAAAAGGATAAATATACTGATGTTTTTTTCTTTTTATGATTCCTACTTACATTCAACCTTGTTTGTATAGAATGTAATTACGTTCCTGTTCAACTATGTTCTGATTTAGGGACTTGTCTAGCGTAGTAGTGTCCAAGATTACAAAGCAATAAGAGTAGCTGGGTCGTAATAAGAGAACTCATAACAGTTTGTTTTTCAAAACGATAGACTACTGGTAATGGCTTTTCAGGTTAAACATTGTTCAACAAAACAGTGATAAGAAACGGACTAATCGGGTAAAATTTATTTATAAATTAGATTCTTACTTAATCAACATCTACAGTGTACATTTTCTAACATTTTGTCGTTTTTCTTCTTTTTTTTCATTTCATACTATACTACACCTAGGCTAGTTTATTGCCAACTAATGCAGAAGAACCATATTTAGAAGAGATACAATTTCAATGTGTTGCACCTGGTAAACGTTTTCAACAAATGGATAGTTTATCCGGTGGTGAGAAAACAATAGCTGCATTAGCTCTACTTTTTGCAATGCACCGATATAATCCATCACCATTCTTTGTACTAGATGAAATTGACGCTGCATTAGATAATACGAATATTGGTAAAGTAAGCACAATCGAGTTATAAAAAAGTATTGGTCTTTTTTATTTTCGTTTTTTATCATACTAAGAAAGCTTAGCTTATCTTGATTTTATTCTCCTTATTACATTACCAATTTCTTTCTCTTAAAGGATAACGTCGGTGATATTTCTCTACTTCATACTTCTTTAATGATCTTTACTACCATCTGACCGATTGTCATGTAATCCGCAATCGTTATATGTATTATTATATAAACAAAGTTGTTGCATATGAATTTGATGTTATACTGAAATTCCAGTTTTCTCTATCTCGCTAACTTTGAAGTGTTGATGTCTAGAATGTGTTCATTCTATCTGAGTTTATATTGGTTCTCGTTCTTTGTAGAATAATCCCAATCGTTTATCAATAGAATTTACTTTAATACAATTAGAAACCCACCTATCCAATTCGTAATCGTTTTTTAACATTGAAGGGATGATTTTCTTATTAGTTAGATTCCTTATAAATAGTTAACATTGGTTGGAGTATTATTTTTGTTTTGTTTTAGATATTTCATTGTTGTTTACTCTATCATCCTCTGTTTAATCGTAGTGTATATAGTTAAAATTAATCAATAAAATTCGATAAACGATAACAAATGTAGGATATGTCTCTAATTATTCTATTCATCAACTCACAGTTACTAGTCAAATATTCGTGGACTTGGCTTCAATTCAAATTAAGTATGAAGAGTTGTGATACTACGTAGATGTCTAAATCAAAGTAGTTGAGATTAGGGTTCAAATTTATAATTTATTAGCTGAAATTCAATTACGGTAACCATTGAGTCACTTTTTCACAGTTTTTACCCAGTTATACAATATGCGACGTGAAATCTAGGTTCACAATGTCCAACCTCTAACTACTTACAATGAAATAAAATATTTTCATTGTAAAGGTAATAGTTTATTAAATAACTGTGATACCGTTATTAAACAATTGTTAAAAATCTGTGATATAATTAAAAGTTGACTATTCTTACTATTGCGGTGCGTGCTACTTATATTGATATAAGTAGCATATTACGCGAGTCAGGAATCCAATGTCTGGCAGCAGAAGATGAGGGAAGATCAAGAAAGCAAGAGCGGGAATAGAATGCAATTTGTATGAAAATGTAAAAACAATGAATTCTGAAGCATTTTGAGATAATTGGTGGACATTTTGCAGATTAACAATTCACTAGATAGTTCTCAAATGTTATTGACATGCTCTGTAATTTTGTATCAAATACATTCGGTTGTTCCCACCCGTGTTCTGTTCACTACACTATCATAGTTATAGTTTTCATTAATCATCTGATTGACAACCTAGTGCAGTTTTTATTGATACATTAAACATTGCTAAGTAATCATCACAATGTTTGTTTAAATGATCCAAGCATCTAAAAACTGTATTTCTATTGTTATATTCACTTTTTTCTTCTTTTAAACAAATGGGTTTCTTTAAACGAAAAATCAGGCAACTACAACACTGTAACAATAATATTATGAAATATAAACTCTTAATATTCCTGTTGTAAATAAATAGTAAAAAATTGACTTGAAAAATTCCAATAGTGTGATTTTTAATAATATATTAGTTTTTAATGGAGTTTTGTTCTCTGAGCTGGATGGTTTGGTTGCGGAGCTTTCATCGTTCTTCTGAATGACATCATCAGCACAAACTTCAGGTAGAAAGCTCCACAACTAAACCACCCAGCTCATAAACACAAAACTCCATCAAAATCATCCACCTGAGCTTATTTTAGCAATTTGGTTGACTAATATTTTAGCTAAAATTTGGGAATTGGACGTAATCCCATCTGACTGGTCGCGATCATTTATTGTCCCAATATATGAGAAGGGGTCAAATTCATCCTGTGACAACTATAGAGGGATTAGTTTGACTAATATAGCGTCTAAAATACTAGCCTCAATAATTATCGGGCGTTTAACTAGGACTCGTGAACTGCAAACACGAGGAAATCAGAATGGCTTCAGACCTGGTCGTGGTTGCATCGACCGCATATTCATCATTCGTCAGATTTTAGAACATAGGCATGTTTATCGGTTTCCAACAATGATAGTTTTTTTTACTTAAAGCAGCATTTAATTCCCTAGACCGCGAGATTCTCATCGACTGAATTTTCGGGAACTGATCTCCTTTTAGGAGGTCCACTCAAATGATATAGTCCTGTTTGGTGAAGACGCTGATAAAATGCAGGGTTTTTTTATAGCACTGAGCATATATCTTTCTTTCTACGAACTAATTTTTTCTTTCTGTACTATATCCTTACATAAAATTTTTCCTTTATATATCACACCATTGAGTTAACTGCTTCTATGAATCCGGTGTTCATCTTGCTGTGCTAATGAGGTGTGGCAACTTGGACCGATGCATGTATGTGCTTGATCCTACGTTGTAACTGACTGACTGACCATCTCAAAAATACTAGTTTACAATATGAATTCGTTTAGTTTTGGTCGTGATTCTTTCTCTGATATATGCTTACATCCATTTATTCTATTTATCTATTTATAATTACTATTAGGTTGCCAGTTTTATACGTGAATATGCTTCAGCACGTGCACAAATTATTGTTATTTCATTGAAAGAAGAATTCTATAGTCGTGCTGATAGCTTAATTGGTATTTATCCAGATATTGTAAGTATCATTATTATTATTGTTAGTATTATTCAATGTTGAATTATATAGAAAAGATAAAAAGAGCATAATTTGTAATTGATTATTTCTTTTGATAAACTGGTATATTTTATCGTATACTTGTTACTAAATACGTTGATTACCTAGATATTTCAAGACTAAGCAACGTGAAGTGATGATAATTTGAATTTAGAAATGATGGATTAAGTACATTTTTTTCACAGTTAAAAATGGGTTCCAAATCTAACTAAAATATGGTGTTATTGTGATGTGTGCTACTGATCTCGACAGATAGATATAGTATGTATCATCAATTGAAAGTGAAATGTCTGGTAATAGAAGGTGAAGAAAATCGAGAACAGAGAATGATTGGTGTGGAAAAAACGAAAGGACAATGAAATTTGAGATGATTGATTGACATTTGCAAAAGGAACAGTCAAGTTTGATACGATTGTTGGATATTTTTCAAATTAAGTATTTACTATATGATTCTCATATTATAATAAGGTGTTCTCTGTAATTTTGTATTGAAATACATTCGATTATCCTCACTTGTGCTCTCGTTCACTATATTATAAATGCAAACACAATAAGAGTAACGAATTTTAAAATATTTAACTATGACGTGTCCTATCAATAAAAATCGCTGAACACAACAGGTTGAAGATGATTAGGGGTGTTTACTATAAAGGCTGATAAATAACTGAACTAAACAAATTAACTAAGTTGATAGCTCCATTTTTTCAGAGCATAAAAAAGCTAAATGAATATGTGAATCATGACGTAAAAGCTTTTTTTTTTAAAAGTTGAGGCTAATTCATCCTAAAACTAATTAAACACGATAATTTCTATGACTCATGGTCACATAGTTAAATATTTTGATTGTATTGTATTCTGTGGGTTAGTTGACTCAATTACTTTCACACCTGGATTTGAACACCACTTATCAACGCTGACGTAACATGGAATTACCTATTCATTACAAGTGAAGTGAGATCGGGCAGATAGAGCTTATAAAATGCAACATATCTACACAAATCTAAGTAAACCAGTAAGCTGTTAAACGGGATACTCAATACAACACTTCATAGTTTAAAGATCAACAGCTTAGTCAGTCAAAGTACTTTATTTTCAACCTGTAGGATTTTCATGTATATGAGGTGTTAATCAGTAGGGTATAATTATCTATTCCCTATTATTTGAAACTACTAATCAAATTCTACTTTTTATGTGTATGTGTCACTGTGATATTGTTTTATGAATATGTTTTCGCTTAATGTGACTTTTTTCGTTTACTGCACAGTGCCATAGTTGTTACACTTTTCAAACAGATAAAGCTTGAAGTAGTCAATTTTACTTTTCACTAGTAACTTTCAGATTATTGTATCAGTAGTACGTACAAGAGGCATAACGTATTAATCAATCACTGAGTTGTTAAGTACTACCGTTTCACCAAATGTATAATGTTGATCTTTGTATTCTGAAGTGTCTCACTAATCATTATTATGCTTCTAACTCTTGGCTTACGAACTATACAGCGGAAGAAAATTATGGCTATGTCGAAGTTCGTCTTTTCAAAATATTCCTCATAGCATTGTTTAAGGCTCGTGTATGCTTATAGGTTCATAGATCGACAGGAATTTATTGGTTATAAACTGGGCTTAATGAGTAATTCACTATACTCAGAATGACGTTGCTCATACTTATCTTGATATTGACTTTTGACCTTCATAAATAAGGTTGCCTATCCTGCAACTTTACTTGGCATATCATTCGATCAACTTCGCCTTGTGATAACCATAGTATTGTATTAGTAGTGCACTATTGATTTATTGATGTCAAAATATTACCATCTCATCATGCATTTCTGTTTGTTATTTGTTTATATTACAGGAAAATAATTGTCTTGTCAGTCGTGTTTTAAGCTTTGATCTGTCGAAATATATTGATACCGGTGAACAGTAACCAGTAAACACCGGCTTGTTGGGCAGCGAATACACTCAGATAGTTGTGCATTTCTTTTATACCTTAATTAATTTATTTTATCTATTCTAGGTTGTATTCCAATATCGTAAGGATTTATTCTATTCTATTTCACTAATTTTTTTATAATTTTATTATCTACAAGTGGGCAATATCACTTACCTTTGCTCAGTAAATACGGCAACAGATATTCTATTTTTTTTTGTTGTTGTTGTTGTTATACATAGAATTATGATAATTCTCCTCCATCAGTCAACTAACCGTATAGTACTGATATGTTTTATTACATTTTTTACTAACCATTAAAATCTTGTGTTCATCCTATATTTACGTGTGTATAATCTACTCTGTACAATTGTTATTGTATTTTTAAATAATATATTTTTTGATAAAATATGTTTTTTTTAGTGTATTTGTTTTCATTTCCAACAAGTGTTTGTGTACGTTGTTGCGTAATATGATGGGATGGTTGATCCGGTTCTATTAAGAAACCGAGGTTTCTGATTAGGTACTATGGTTCACTTAGAGATGTCTGTCTAATGGTATGGTATGGTGTATCGTTTAGATTAGTGTTGATTTAGCATTAATTCTTTGTTATATACATATAATCATTGACTAGTCGAGATTATAAATACTCAAAGTAAAACAATCCCTCGATTTTTAATTTCAATTAAATAATAGGTTTCAGGTCATTCTTGAAACGAAGAATATTTGTAGCGCTAAATGAGAATCTTAGAGGTATTGTGTTCTGTGATCTGGACAGTTTAAGTGTACAATTATCCATCCAACTTCGAGAACACAATACCTCCAGGTAATTCTTGATAATGATTTATAAAGAAGAATCAAATCGGAATTCTAGGTTTCGTTTAGGATTTTTCACTTAACTTTAACTTGAATCTATCTAATCAAATTATTCACTCTTTTTAATAGATTCGTCTAACATTACTAATATAAACAATCAATCTCCCTCGTTAACTTTTATACAACAGTACTCAAGTGTCTCTCAAACTATATAAACATTCACTTGATATTGTTTTACTTGAATCTTCCCATTGATGTTTTAGGACTGAAATTGAGTCCCAGAGTGAACATCACCTCTGAGATGCAGGTACACCCAGCTGACGAGTCCCAAACAGGACGAAACGCGCGTCCTGAACTCCACTGCTAGCCACTATCCATCTTTGCTTATATAAACATTCGTAAAGTTTCAAGATCAATATGGTGTGAGGGATCCAAGCCCTTGGTTGTCCAGTTCAAATTCAACAGTTAGTTTATCAGTACTTTTGTAACGGTTCAAGAAAAACGTAGATAACAAACAGGAACAAAACGTGCATCTACATAGACTTCCTAAAATATCTACAATTCCAAGGGTGTCAGTCTAGAAGTAAATGTTCACGTCAATCGTGTTTAGTATTATCGATTTCATGTATACTTGAGAACACTAAAGACTTCTCTAAGTAAGTATTACTTCTAAGTAGACGATTACTGGACCTACATAAAAAATGTGTCTATCATCTGTAGCTGTAGCTTCTTGTTTGAAATTCTAGTCTTCAAATCAATAAACCACACCCCATTCTTTTTTATTTCACTGAAACCTTAACGAAGTGATGTTGGGATCATTGTTGCTAGCCTACTTCTGTCACAAATAATATCCTAAATAAAATGTTCTCACTGAAAAATGTTAATCATTTATAAAACGAATCATTTTACCAAAATCTTGTTTACTCTGAAAGTCAATGCTCTTAAAAATATTCGTGTTAACTATTATGGATTGAAAGTATTTGTAACTTATTATATGTGTAACATTTAAAATGTTGTGTAATCGGTCAGTAAGTGATCTAACGTATGATCTGGTACAATCCAAGTCGTTACACTTCTCAATAAGCACAACATACAGGTAATTTAAGTAGGTGAGAATCTAACGAAGATAAATGATATACATTTTAGTGTAGGCGAAACGTATGTTGAGTAAATATTATCAAAGAATAGGAGAAGCGGGATGAAAGTCAGCAAAAAAAAGGAAAACAGACAACAAATTTCAATCATTAGAAAATACAGTTATCTCAGTGAACAGAGGTTTACAGCCTCATCAATCGAAGGGCGAGATAAGCTTTCTGTATACATTTTATTTAAAAATATAGTTAAGAAAGTTCTGCATAGTGTAATTCCCATCAAACAATAGTAATCTATTCATCATTTTGTGGCTCACTGATTTTTTTATGGAATTCTTCCTCGAATTTCTTTTCTTGAGTAATGATTTATGCTTTATTTATTTTTTTCAGGCACACTTTTTATCTCATGTTGAATATTGTTTAATTTCATGCCAAGACCAATTGAAAGTAAAATTTATTCCTGAAGCAAGTGAACGGTTTGTTTTAGGATCACCAAGGTAAATTGTTTGCATACATATTATTTCAAGTAGTTATATCTAAATTCTTGCCATTGAGATTACAAATCGACCTAATTTAGACAACCATTGAAAATCTGAGAGCACTGAACAGCTGTTTCGTCCCAGTACAAAATTCAGAAGTGCTCATCCATAACCTTAACCCTAGGGATCAAACTTAGAACCTTCGACTTCCTGTGCGAACTCTTATCCTCTAGATCACTTAGCGGGCACCCGACGGTGTTATTATATAAGTTCAATCAATTAGAGATATCGCACAACTCTCATCCATTCTCTACGGTGAATAACTTTCTCACATCCGACACAGATTAAACTCCACTGATCCAGACTTTTAAGTAGAACTCCAGGAGTTTTATGTCGAAGCAGGTGTGAAGTCGTGAACAGTTGAGTTCAACCATTTAGGGTATAAGCAAAATACCCACTAAAAACGATTGAAGATAGTCGCACAATATCGTGGATTGATTGGAATTAGATTTGTAGACCAGTGGATTCAGGCACAGTGGTCTATAGGTTAGCGGTCGCGCGCAAGATCAGGTGTCCTGAGTTCGTCCCTCTGATGGTGGTTCGTGGATGCACACTGCTGAGGATTCTTATAATTAGACAAGAAGGGTGTCCAGTGCATTTAGATTTTCAATGCTTGTCTAGCTAAGATCAGTTCGTGAGTCAAAATTTGTTTACCTTGCGAAACACAAAAACCGCTATCTACATGCACTTATTTATACATACATTTTACTGATATTTAGTGATGAGTTAACTAATATCAAATGTAACTGATATAGAGGAAATACTTAAATGGATTTTTTACAGAATGAATCAAAAACCCATGCTCTATACTTTACTGAATAAATCTTACACTGAAATAAAATTGTTGTCGTACCGAGCAATTTTCATAGTAACTTAAATGTGATGTCGTGTTTGATCCTGTCTTATAGCTCGTCCTTTTAGCTACTTATGTATGAGTAAGTTTTCCGTAAAGAAGTAAACTTGAAAGTCAATTGACCTCCTTCATGTCAACTAGAATCGTTTAAGCAGGTCACATCCTCATCGTGCTTTTATTTTGTTTACCGGATCTTTTACTAATATTCATTCGTTTATATGCGTAACGTCAATTCTCCTTTTACTGTATTAAGACTTTTCTGCCCTCATTATTACCTACACTACTTTGTTTTTCCTCATTACTTTCTTTTTCCTATTCCATATACTAAAATCTATTGCATTGAAGCAGTACATTAACACATATGTTCCTTTTTTTTCTTAAAAGTCTTTTCCCTGTTTAGTTTTGGTATCATTTCTTATTTTCTAATCTAATTCTCAATTATCTTTTGTTTGATTTCCTTTCTTCATTGTTCCAGTTCATATGGTCATATTAGTGCTGTTCTTTCAGTCTATGGTGATTTAGTATATGAAGCTGTAAGTTTTTAAAAGAGAATTATATTTTTACCTGTTAATTAATTATTCATGTATAATTGTATTAACACCTCTTATCGACTGTTATACATTTACAGTTCGATATTTAATGTTTAACAACATTTTGCGTACAAAGCGTTCCTCAACTTGAATTCGAACATAAACGATAAATAATCTTTTCAATAATTTCTCATCAGGTTCTACAATTATAAATCCAAATTAATAATCCATGAGATTGGCCAGATTTAAGGCAGAGTACATCATCCAAATGAGAAATTATTGAAAAGAATATTCTTCGTTCATACAATTATGTCTTAATGTAATGGGAATTTTCCAGTGATAAATAATCTGTCTAAACAAACCTGTCATCTTAGATTGTTATGTAATATACTGACAATTTTGTGTACTAAGCGAATGATTCCCCACCGTGGCTTTAATGGTAATGACCAAGACTCCTTATTATCCTCGTCTTCTCTGCCCGCTAACTAGAAACAAGTCCTAGCTTGTCTAGAAGATTTATAGATAGAGACCCAAGTATTAAACGTATTCATCTATACACAAAATTAATTTTTGTAATTATTAGAGCTTCTCAACTTTTAAACAAAGGTATTACAGATGAATATATATATATATATATATATATATATATATATATATATATATATATATATATATATATATATATATAATGTGATTGGATTAATAAATACAAATGAGTGTTAGACTAAACAAAAGTTACACTGAATTAATTTCAAGTCAAATGAACGGAAATTACATTTAAATCAATATATAACCTTAGATTCAATTTTTTCCTGGTAATTGTATTCAGATATTTAACATAAGCAAGTAAATCGTTCCTCTAGCCAATATCACCTCCCACCTGCTTCTGTCAATCTGGTAATCTCTTAATATCTATGCAGTCTTAATCCTCTTCTTCTGAGCAGCTAGTTGACATTCAAACGTTAGAAATATGTTAGCGATTAGGTCGGACCATAGAACAGTACAAACTACGTTTGTGATGATTCTATTCACTTTTTTAGCTATATGACTTGGTAAAATCTGTTCAATTTTTGAGACAATTTTCATCACAGTCTGAAATTAACTGGGGAACACTAGAGATTTATCGGGTTTTTGTTTACTAGTACATTACATTGTGGATCTATGATCCCCCATAAGTGATTGAATAAAAGACCTTCCATTCTATATCAGGTAAGTTCTAGTTCTTATGATCGTGTTGGGGATGTTAGATCTCCAGAACTCACTTGGAAAAGGACCTAATTTTGTAATTTTATTTAGAAAATTTGAATTTCCTTGTTTTTGCACCAAAAGCGCTTTTTTCAGCTTCATGTAGTATTTCTCACTTGGAAGAATTTCAAATGCTATTGGTTCATAAATGGATCCCAAAAGTTACCATTCGTTATGCTCATCGGGGCATAACAGATCGAAACGTATTTTAATGGACGGTTTGTAGAGATCTTCGATTTTTTATCACAGACTGATGTCATTTAAACATTCACTGAAAACTAAGGAGCTCTACACAGATTTTTCCTTTTAATAAAGGACTTCTCAACATTGC